AAGGGAAATGGAAATGAAAGGAAAAGGAGAAAGAATTAATAGAATTCCAAATCCCAACTATGTTTGGTTGTGTTGGTTATAAAATAGAATTTATGTCCTAAAAGGTCTCCTATTTCTTTATTTATTTCTCACCCCCTTTCTTTTCCCATATATTTTTTATTATAACCAAACATAAATAGGATTACATTTCTCATTCCTTTTCCAAATCCCACCTCAAAAACTCCAACCAAACACAGCATTAGGAAAACTACAGGTCACGGTATTTTGACCAAAAATAATTACAAGTGCGTGGGGTGCAAATCTTTTTAGTATAGTAAAAAAACACAGGAAAAAAAAAGTTACATCCCACAAAAATTCCCATGTAGTTTCCCTTTTATTTTCATCTTTAATTTGATCAACCTTTTTGTTAGCTGATTTGTGTGTTGAATTGGATGACAGAAGAAGAAAGACAGAAAGTAAACCATTACCTCCCACTGCACATAGCTGCAATCAAAGGTGATTGGGAGAGCGCCAACAAATTTATAGAACAAGAACCAGATGCAGTCAGGGTTCCCGTCACTGGATTAAGACAAACATCACTTGTCGTCGCCATTAGGTTGGCGCGGAGAAATGAATTTGTGAAGAAGTTAATAGAGAAGATGTCACCAGAGGATCTAGCTCTAGTCGACTCCAGAGGCAGGACAGCCCTTCATGAAGCTTCAATAACTGGTAATGTTGAGGCAGCCAAACTATTAGTGCAGAGGAACACAATCTTGCCTAATATTCTGGACAAGAAGGGACGAGTACCTCTCTATTATGCTGCTAATTTTGGTTTTAGAGAGATGGTTCTGTACTTATTGGATGTCACTAGATCTTTGGATGTCAACACAGAACATTTGGAGCCAAAGCCTTTGGGTGTCAACAAAGAAAATCTGGAGCCAAAACCATTTGAAGACAGATCAGGTGTTACACTTTTGTATCGGTTGGCAACTAGTGGACTTTATGGTAAGTAATTAATGTCTATTATCAATTTAGAAAAAAATATTTGAGTCTGTATTTGGTTTATAAATTTAATGAGGGATTTGAAAAAAAATAAAAAAATAAAAAAATAAGTGAAATATGAATGAAATACAATTTCATTTTCCTTAAATTTCACACACCTTTTTCATTTTCATCAATTTCATTTTTAAATTCCTATCTACATTTATGAACCAAATACAGACTGAATATTACTTAAGATTTGAATTATGTTGACCAAAAGTTTTAGTTTATAACGTACATAGACTTTCTAAATTGATTTCATTTTGGGAAGATGGTTAAAAACTGATTTTTTGATTTTTTTTTTTTTTTAAAATGTAAAAAATATAAGAGATGATATGGTTCAAAATAGGTTAAAAGTTAACTTTTAAGTTTTAATTATGTTCTCAAATTGGCCCAAAATATGTGAATTTGTATCTTGTTTTGAATTTTTTTAGGGAGAGATTTTCAATTATCTTACTTATTTCTGTTAAAAATCTTTAAAACTTCACATAAAACAAAAAATAAAAAATAAAAAATGATAGGATAGATTACACCAAGGCAAACAATTGGAATTTAATATTTTAGTTTAAAAAGTCACTAAAAAGAATTAAAAAATCAACCATCTATATTAAGAAATTAAAAATTTTATTTTCTTTTTATTTTTTATACATTATTTTATAAATAATTAAAAAAATTAATCTAAATATATTAATTTCTTTTACTTTATATTTTGATTAAAATATCAAAAAAATTACTAAAATAATTTAATGCTAAAATTGTCTCTTAACCCATCTCCCAAACAGCCCCAATGTACTACAACACTATGATCTCTATGAGGATCAAAATTACACTATTCAAATTACCTTATGATCTCAATAAAATAAAATAAAATAAAAAATTGCCTTAAGATCATCAGACATAGATATTACGACACCTCCTCGCGACATCACAACTCTCGAATCGCCGCAATTCGCAACCCCCACCTCCACTTCTCGCACCATCGCCACCACCTCCGTTGACCCTACTGACAACGCCGCCGTACTCTCCACCGCTACCACCCTCCAACAATCACTCACTTCATCATCCATCTTCTGAAAACACGCCACCATCACCTTTTCCCAATCCAACAACATTGTTTCCACTCCATCTTCTTCAATCTCTTTCACTAGTAACCGGTGTAACCGGTCACAGCAAGTGTGTGTGACGCGTGAGCCTCCATGTCTGTCGTATACAATACATGCCGAAGAAATCGAAATCTTTTGAATCTTTGAAACCCTAACTCTACTCTCACATCGTCCTCCATTTCTCTTCTTCGTCTGCCCATTGAAATCGATCCATGTGACGGCATGTGACGCTCCGCGAATCGTCTCTAGCATCAAAATTCGTGACGAAATGATGTCATTTTCTGACAGTGACAAACACGAAAACGATGACTCCAAAGCTCAAAATCGTATCTTCTCAAGCAATAATCATCGCCACGGTGAATCCAGAAAATTCTAGACGCTGGAGATCCAATATTTTCCAACAATCTAACTTGTCGGAATCTGACAACGCCATTTTCAAGCGATCATACATTGCAGTAGATGTACGCCTTAAGCTGTTCATTTTTAGTAAGGCTTCGTTTAGGAAGTGAGTTGTTTTTTTGACTTTTTGATTTTTTTGACTATTTTAGTCTGGGATTAAAAAACCTGGTTTGGGAAGAACTTTTGGTTTTTTTGACTTTTTTAATTTTTTGTGAGAGAAAGAATGTAATGATTATGGGTTGAATGTGATATTTTATCTTATTGAACTAAAAAACCTATTTCATTTTTTGTGACTATTTTAACCAAAAAAATCACAAAACCTTCTTCTTAATCATAAGCTAAATTTGTTCAGTTTGAATTTGTCAAATGAGTATGAGACTCTTCATTAGCAATGAAACGATTTTAAATCCTAGCCGCTTAAACTAATTTTAGCTCCGTTTGGGAAGATGGTTTATAGACTTTTTTAGCTATTTTAGTCATAAAAAATAAAATAAGTTATTTTAGTTACAATAAACAAAATATCATATCCAACCCATAATCATTACACTCTTCTTTTACAAAAAAAAATCAAAAATTTAAAAGTCCTTTCCAAATTAAATTTTTTAACCTAAGTTAAAATAGTTAAAAAAAATAAAAAAATTAAAAGGCCAACTTACTTCTCAAACCAAATTTTTTATCTGTTGGATCGTCGCCACCTGGACTAAATGCGGCTATCTAGCATGGGAAATCGTGCAGTGAATTTTTACGCAGGAAAACGTGTGTGGCTGCAGTTAAAGTAAATGTAACACATGGCGTTCGGATAGTGGGCAAAGAGATTTGGTTCGCCGGGAAGATATTTTGGTTTGTGACTCGTGAGTTGTGAACTGGGGCAACGTAACAACAATGATTCATCCAAACGTGTGTGGCTGCAGTTAAAGTAAATGTAACACATGGCGTTCGGATAGTGGGCAAAGAGATTTGGTTCGCCGGGAAGATATTTTGGTTTGTGACTCGTGAGTTGTGAAATGGGGCAACGTAAAGTGATTACGTGGTTTGTTGAGGTTTGCTCTTTTTTGTTTTATTTTTATTTTTTTTTACCGGACTGTGTGGGAAAATTTTACTATACATCTCATTTGAAAGAGGTATATCATATGTAATATCAGTTATATTATTATTATTTTTAATTATAATTAATTTTCTTTTGTAGTTATGGGATCAAAGACAAGTGTTGCGACAATACCGTGCTGTCCAAGAATGGATCTATGAGTGAGAGAAAGGGTGATTAAAAATATTAAATATCATACTAATTTTTTTTAAATAATTTAAAATTATAAGGGTTAGTAACTTTAAATATACTTTCACACCGCATAATGATAATCATAGATTCGTTCCCAGTGTTGTCATATCAACATGGTCGTTTTCATATATCTATATATATAAAAACCACTCAATTGCTTGAGGTTCGTATTTTCTTTCTGATTTTGCTCTTTTATTTTGAATAATTTATTAATGATGGCCTATATATTGAGTGAATGTTTTTTTCGTAATTAAGCAAACATTGTTGGTTAATTATGCAACACATTTTTTCATAATTAAGCAAACATTCTTAGTCAATTATGAAAAATTCAATTATAAAACAAGTTTTTTCATAATTATACAAACATTCTTAGTCAATTATGAAACATAAATCTTTTATTTTTTAATAAATAATAATACACCCAGGTTTGTCTAAAATATGAATCAGTTCTATAATACTAAAAACTACAACTATTGTTTGTTATAAACTTTAATTTGACACAATACTTAGGGGGGAAGGGGGAAACTATTCTCCTACTATGCAATAATAAATTATCAAAATTGTTTATTGAAAAATATTTCATATCATTAAAAATTGTTAATTGATTTAATGATTTCAAAATGGTTAACTGAAAAATGTTTTTCATATCATTAAAAATTGTTGATTTACGTATTAATAAAATTGGTCATTTGTATATATATGTATGTTATTCTATTTCTTCATTAGTTCAGTGAATTATATTAGTATTTGTTTTATATTTATCTGTTGAGAAAAGCTACACACCATAATTTTTTTTTTATAAATTCGGAAGAAATGTTAAAGACTCATAAATTTACTCAAAATGATATGGTAATAAAATTGGAGTCTATATCATTAAATGTATAACAAATCAAAAATGATACATATCATACAACATAATTTTATCATATATCTAATGATTTATTCTATTCAATTTCATAGAACAATATCCTAATTTCTTAAAAAAAAATTATAAAATTTCAAAACTTAAATATATTGTAATAACAAGGGCCTTTTTTAAACTATTATTTCATATTTTAAACAAACTTTATGGGTGTATTTGTAATTTATTAAAAAAACTAAAAGATTTATATTTCATGATTGACCAAGTATGTTTGCGTAATCTGGAAAAAACTTGCTTTATAATTGGCCAAGAATGTTTTTCATAATTGATCAAGAATGTTTGCGTAATTACGAAAAATACCTGTTGCATAATTGATCAAGAATGTTTGTGTAACTACAAAAAAAAAAAAACTTCACTTAACATATAGGCCACTATTAGTAAATTATTCAAGATAAAAAGAAAAAATCAGAAGGAAAAGATGAACCTCAAACAGTTAAGCGATTCTTATATATATAGATATTTGTAATTTGTTTTCATTTTCTTTTTGACTATTTGTTTTGCTATCAATTTCTTTTAGATAAATTACAAATACACCTTTATGTGGTTTGATTGCTCTCCATGATTTTGAAAATTATAAATATTTTATTGTTAGAATTTTTTTATTTATAATAATTAACAGAAAAAAATAAAATTCATAATCATTCTTTTATATAATAATAAAATTATCATGATCATTAATTGAATATATTTTTGACATCATTAAAAATTATTAATTGCTTTGATAATTTATTAATAAAAGTGATCATTTGTTATGCAATTAAAAATTTGAAGGGGTATAATATAATTTTTAGAACCACAATGGATAATTTGTATATTAAACAAACCTTAGAAAATGTATTTATAATTGGGGAATTGACCCATAAATCCTAAAAGGTGGGATTGTAATCTAATCAGTCTCATATTTAATTTTGTACACCCAAAGGTCCTATTATTTGGGGGTGAACAGTTTTGCCCATGAACTTACTGTTTTGGGTTTGGTGATATTATGTTTGAATGATGTGAGTGTATGCAACATTTGGGAAAAGCTTACTATAGCTTTTTTATGATGTGGGTGTATGTAACGTTTAGGAAAAGCACATTTATGATGGTGTATGTAATGTTTGGGAAAAGCTTACTATAACTTTTTTATGATGTGGGTGTATGTAACGTTTGGGAAACGCTTACTATAACTTTTTTATGATGTGGGTGTATGTAACGTTTGGGAAAACATTTATGATGTGGGTGTATGTAACGTTTGAGAAAAGCTTACTATAGCTTTTTTATGATGTGGGTGTATGTAACGTTTGGTAAAAGCTTACTATAGTTTTTTTATGATGTGGGTGTACGTAACGTTTGGAAAAGCTACTATAGCTTTTTATGATGTGGGTGTATGTAACGTTTGAGAAAACATTTATGATGTGGGTGTATGTAACGTTTGAGAAAAGCTTACTATAGCTTTTTATGATGTGGGGTGTATGTAACGTTTGGGAAAAGCTTCCTATAGCTTTTTTTGGGTTTAGTAGTGTATGTAGGAGTGTCCACGTTATTTATGACCCATACGTTTCAACCACAAAAAAAGGGTACATTAGTCAGAAAAAACATTCCATAATTACATAATGGGATCCGTCAGATCACATTACCAAAAAAATAGGACTTGGACGTCTATTAATTTTAGGGTCGTGCTTAAGTGTGCAACCCCCTTAAGGTTGCACACCATATGCAACCCAATTGTTAGCCGTTAGATTACAATAATTGATCAAGACCATTGAATTGTTTAATCGTGAAAAAGTTAAAACCGGGGCAACCGGTTAATGCTTGTATTTGCTTGATTGCATCCCACTCACTCTCTGTATTTCGTCTCTATCTCTCTCTGTTCTCCTCTCTGTGTAAGGTTGAGTCAGTGTAACAGTTGATTTCCATTAACAGGGAGAAGCCCCTGTTGGGTTCGTTCCATTGACGAAGCTCTGTAGGGAACAGTATAACGGGCGATTTCCAACAACAACGTAACTAGAAAGCTGTGTTGGTTCCATTGCTGAAGTGAAGCCCTTCTCTCGAACTAGATATGAGGTATGGAGCTGTGTCCCTCTCTCTGTCTCCCTCTCTGTCTCTTTGGCCCGTTCACTTCAGCTATTTTCCCTCCACTAAACCCCCATCCTAACTTCAACCGCTCTACGCTTCGCTCCAACGGAAACCCCTCTATTGGCAGCTAACCTTTCTCTTTCTCTTTCTCAAGCGAGTGTTTGTGTTTGCACAAACAGGTAAACCGTGTGAAAATGTCATGTTTGTGTTTGTGTTAACAATTTTCGGGTTCAGCTTCTATCCACTTGGTGAATAGAAGATCCTGATGTTGTGAAGACAAAAGGGAACCCAGGACGGGCCTCGTCCAACTGTCGAAGACCAAGAAAATGTGGGAATTGCAAATGCATTGGGCACACAAAGAGAACGTGTCCTAAGGTTCGGTTTAGCCGAACAGTGGGTAATAACTCAGATGCAGATACACCCCACATAACTGACCGTGAGTACAATGCGGAGTCATTGCCCGTTCGCTGCAAAACTGGGTTGGTGGATCCAAGTACACCGCACATTAAGCAACGGCGACTATTTTTTGATGTTTCTCCTGATTCCAAGCAGCCTGTGGGCCAATACGGTAGTGTTGAAGCAGCAGTGTGGAAAAAT